ACACACACACACACACACACACACACACACACACACACACATATTATTTTATTTTTTTTTTAGAGATAGGGTCTTGCTTTGTCACCCAGGCTGGCTAGAATGTAGTGGTGCAGTGGTGCAATCATAGCTCACTGTGACTTCAAACTCCTGGGCTCAAGCGACCCTCTTGGCTTAGCCTCCTGAGTAGCTAAGATTACAGGCACATGCCACCACACCTGGCTAATTTTGTTTTTGTTTTTAGCAATGAGGTCTTGCTATGTTACCCAGGCTAGTCTCAAACTCCTGGTCTCAAGCAATCCTCCCACCTCCACCTCCAAAGTGCTGGAATTACAGGCATGAGCCACCATGCCCAGCCTATTTCTGAAAGATGGTTTTGCTGGGTATAGAATGCTTAGTTCGCAGATTTTTTTTATTTCTTCAGCACTTTATGTCATGTCACAGCCTTCTGGCCTCTACAATTTCTGATGAGAAATCAGATGTTAATTTTATTGAAGATCCTTACACATGGTGAGTTGCTTTTTTCTTGCTGTTTTCAAGATTCTCTCTGTGCCTTTGGCTTTTAATAGTTTGATTATCATGTGTTTAGGTGTGAATCTCCTTGCGCTTATCCTGTTGGGAATTCAGTGTGCTTCTTGGACATGCAGATTAATATTTTTGTCAAAATTAGGAAGTTCTCTGTCATATTTCTTCAAATATTTTTCTGTCCCTTTTTCTCTCTTATTCTGGGACTCCCATGTATATTTGTATGGTTGATAGATCCCACAGATTTCTGAGGCTCTGTTCATTTTTTCTTCATTCTTTTTTCTTTCTATTCCTCAAACTGGATAATCTCAATTGATCTATTTTCAATTTTTCTTATCCTTTCTCCAGCCTGCTTAAATATGCTGTTGAGACTGACTAGGGGCTTTTTCATTTCAGTGATTATATTTTTCAACTCCAGGACATCTGTTTGATTATGTTTCACAATTTCTCTCTTTTTATTGATATTCCCTATTGTATGAGACATCATTCTCATACATTTTTTTGTTCTTTAGACATGGTTTCATTTAGCTCTCTGAATATATTTAAAATAGCTGATTTAAAGTCTTTGCCTAGTTAGTCCAATAGCTAGGACATTATCTAAAAATGTTTCCACTGATTGTTTTTTTCCCTATGCATGGTCCATACTTTCCTGTAGCTTTGCATGTCTCATAAATTTTTTGTTGAAAACTGGACGTTTTAAATTATATAAGCTGACATCTCTGGAAATCAGATTCTCCTCCTTCCCAGGGATTGTAGTTGTTGCTGCTTGTTATACCTGTTGTTGTTTGTTTGTTTAGTGACTTTTCTAATTTGTAAAGTCTGTACTTTTTGTTATCCGTGGCCACTTAAGTCTCTACTCAGCTCAGAAGTCAACTAATGGTAAAACAGAGATATCCTTAAATGCCTGGAACCAATAAATCATCCAGTCTTTGCTAAGGGGCTCTGTATATGTGTTAGAACATGCCTTCAACACTCAGCTGGGCAGTTGACAGCTCTGCCTTAATGTAACTTCCTGTTTGCACAAAGCCTCAAGGTCAGTCAGAGATGTGATCTGAGGGCCTTCTCAGGTCTTTCATGGGCATGTGCACAACCCTGGCATGTGGATGGTCTGCTAGAGTCCAAGGACTATGTCGGAGCTTTTCAAAGTCCTTGTGGGCATCTTATTCCCCAGTAACTCCTTTTAAGCTTTTTGCCTAGTCTGTTGTTTGCCCCAACTGTTATTCACTGCCTTAGGCAGCTGCAAAGTTAAAACGTGTGTAATTTTTTTGACACATACCCCCTGGGAAAAAGTCTTTTCACAAGAGATGAGCTTAAGTCATGTCGAATACAGACAGCCTAGCAAGTGGGGTCTTTCAGGGAACCACCAGACAGGTAGAATAATGACAGTTCTTTGAGAATGAGCCTTTGATAGATTGCCAGGTCTGTTCTTTTCCCTCAGGGGGCAGCCAGGCTGCTGCAGGAATGCAGACTGTCACTTTTCAAGGCTACCTCATGGCTGAAGAGTGGGAGGTGAGACCAGAGCAGGTAAAATCACCAGAAACCTCACTGTTGTTACTAAGATTAAGCCATTTTTCTTCAGTGAACACTCTCCAGGTTGCTGCAAGCCTTTGGTTAGTTTGCAGAGTTCTGGAAAAAAAGTTTATTTTGACTATGTTGGACAGTTTTTTCATTGTATTTGTGGAGGACAGAATTTTCAGAGGTCTTTACTCTGCCATTTTTGCTGACACCATCCCA